TTTCTCTGAAATACAAATCTTGTGAATTATCTAACTGCTAAACGAAAGACATATTTTAGCAGCCAGTAAATGAACGGTTGTCCAGAACTCCCCATTGGTTTTCCAATGGTTCTCTAACTGATGTCAGCTCATCATGAAATCTTCCATCCAGTCAAACAAAATCCCTAAAAAACCAATACTTGAAAATTAATCTGATGCTCACTAGCGATCGGCTCTATTCAGGCAGTGACCTGGGATTCTAGTGGTAAGCCGTGACATGTAGGGTACAACAGGTGGAAGATGAGGCAGTAAATCATCGAAGAAGACATTGCGAAGTGGCCTAAGTTACAATTCATGGACTGGCCATTGGATCGGGTCCTAGTAGCTAAATGATCTACGATCTCGCCTTGTAACCAGAAGGCCCTGGGTTTGAACCCCGCCGTGTGGGTGCGTACTGGTGAAGAGTCCCAAACTAGGCTGACTCAACAGCTGTCCAGTACTCCCAGCCAGTTTTCCAATTGTTCTCTAACTGATGTCAGCTCATGATGAAATCATCCATCCAGTTATTTTTTCCTCATTAATTAATTCTAATAAATTCTAACTTAGCACAATATTTTGACTGCTCATTAGACTGCATGAAATGTAATTGTTGAACATGTGAAAGTGTATGGGTAGAGTAGAGTGGAGGACAATTGTTTGCATTTCTTAATCCATTGCAAAGCATTTAAGACTAGAAGGTTCACACGTACTGGACAGTTCAACCTAACATATCATCTAGTAGAAACTGACAGCATTGTGAACAGCCTAAGGTCTTTCAAAGTAATTCATAGGCAAATGGAACTCTGTCGATTGCACTTCAGTGAGGCAATCAACTGGTTCAAATAAAAGCTGTGATAAAATAATCGTAACAGAATACTAAATAATTATTTATATTATTGTCCCCTTCGGTTCCAAATGGAACACAGGGTTTCATCAGCACTTTGTCTTATTCTCTCTTGTTTTCTTAAGGTGTACCCATGATTCCACATAATCTCTCATCTCTTCCTTACAAAATCTCCTCTGTATCACCGTCGAACGACCCATTCACCTTCCATTCGAACGCTAACCTGACGCAGGATGTCACCGGACCGTCTCCTCAGTGTGTGTCTGATCCATCTCCATTTCCTTTGACATATTTGTTGACAGAGTTCTTTGTTGCTAATTCTTTCCTGACTGCCATTTGATCTTCAATATAAAGCGAAGGCAGCCATTGATTAAAGTCCACAGTAGCCTGTTGCAAATGCTTTCGCTGACGCTCGCGACAAGTTTCTTATCCGTACAGAAGAACTGACTGACTTAAAATTGGTACTGAAAATCCGAATTTCGTTGTTTATGTTGACTACGGCAGATTTCCACACTGGTTTCAGAGTGATGAAGGTGTGCCTTGTATTTCCAATCCTCATCAGTGCAGACTATCTGCGATTGAAACGATGCTGTCTAGGTAAGTGAAGGCAGTGACATAGTTCAAATGGATTCCGTTGACAGTGAATGGAGCTGATTGTTGTTGGTGGTGGTGGCCATCTGGAAATCTCTCTATGAATAATCTGTGTACAATATTGGTACTTAGCTGAACTTTCAGCTAATTTTGTAGTCATTACACTTTTTCCCTGACCTCTATATCACTGCTCTAACTTAATCTTCATTCATGAATTAATAAGGAGAAATAGTTCTGTTCAGCAAAGAAACAATTTCTTCCAATTACTTCATTATCAAGGTATACAATGATATATACATTACGAAGAAAAAGGGATTAAGTAACGCTGAAAGAATTTTGCAATTCATTCACTTAAACTCTACCTCATTGAAACATCGTTTAAATTATGTTTATTCTTATCGTATAAACATTGACTGAGTGGCTTTCATGGCACTTAGCGCTTTTTTTTCCGTAATATAAATAAGTCTGGAGAGCTCGATTATGAAGTCACTGGAAAGAACATGGCAGTGTTTTTCTTTAATATGCCTTATCATTTGTCTTTTCTTTTGGGTGATTTCTGATTTTAGTACCTCTCTTTTCTATAAAAAAAAATAATTGAGCAAAGAATATCCTTTTCGATAACTTCCTCTTCTCGCTCTACACTTATATATATGTTTATATACATAGAATATTCTAGATTAGTAGTCAATAACAATATTAGTATTTTTAAATAATACCGATTTGAAAAGTATGATCAATGCTATTACAGTTCATTAAAGATGCTTAAATTATTATTATAATAATAAAGATATAGTAGCAAATAGAATATCGGTTAAAATTAGCAAAATTCCACAACAATTGAGGATCATTCAAACCTAGATGGCAAAGGTAATGATAATGTCTGAACTAACTTCTCTGGGATGCATAAATTAGGCCTATTAATATGGATCCCCACAGCCTCAGCACTATGCAGTAGACAAACTGTTGAGGCGAAGTTGAGATTTGTTGATATGAGGTAAATGACCCTGAAAGCCTGGTTCACATCAATCTTGTGTTGTGTATCCACAAGATGAGATAGAATAACGCTACGAATAGATTTTGTTTTCCTTTACTTATCCATTGAGGGTGGTGTTCGGAAATCCTACGAGAAACACGCCTAATTGTATGGCCTGTGCGACTAACTGGCTCCACAAGAGCAGTTAAATTGGTAGATACACATGGGAGAGGCAAAATTTGGCAGTTTGTCTTTTACTTCCGAACGCAAAAGAGGAGTGGTTTTGAAGACGCATCGTAATTCGGCAGCATTTCTAAGGCGCTGTATTAGTATCTCCCTGATGTTGTCCCCAAGGAACTGTATTTGTATGAATAAGGCCTTTTTAAGAACTGTTTGTACCTTGGGCTGCTTTGATTTTAGATTCATATTCGTATCAATAAACTTTTCTGGATAACCATTTTCACTCAGCAACCGTTTTCTGTTGTGTGATGGTGCCAACAATAGTGGGCTGTTTAAAGATTGCTATTCTGTTCGGATGAATTAAACGTCACACCATTGAGTGATTGTCTGAGTTCGGACTTTCTATGAGAAATGTGTTTATTTGGTTCGATTCTTGAAGACAGAGTTTTAAGCCAACCTTGTCTGGGATATCCTTGATGGTTATCAGCAAGCATTTTGTAATTTAGAAACTTTTAAACTGATGAGGTAATTCTGTATTTATCATTGTTGAACAATATCAGAGATCCTATCAAGCAGTGACGTGTTTTGACATTTTTGGAATAGTAAATCTGACTACGCATAACCCGCAGGAGCTACAAGCTGCGTAGAAAAGATCATCATTTAGTTTCCTGCTTTCAAATGGAAATGCCGAGTGATTATATGGCTAATCCCTCTTTCTCAAGTGGCAACACTTTTATTCGGTCGGGATTACAGAGTTTCAATTATTAGGCTTAAATATATACCAGCACGATTTCATGACCATCAACGATCACTTTTGGCGGCCTGTTTAAAATTTGAGCTTCCATAAACTTCTATCAGCATATTGCTTTAAATTTCTCTTATTCAGATTGTTTGAATCTAGTAAAATATGACCTCTTATAGTATTTTTTACTCTGGCGGTTATTTAAAAAAACTTACAGCCTCCTGCTTTGCAAGTTTCTACTAAGGTTATCTTCGATGGCATCTTATCCCAGTATATGAGATGACCGTTCCTGAGCGGTGTTCTTGAACTCTTGAACTTTCTGTAATTGGCATTCAACAAAATATCGTTTATTTCTCAAAGCAGAGAAAAAAGAGATATCATGAAGGATTAGTTTGTACTTCTGGTCAGATAGAACTGTGTCACACGATCTGTTGTCAGGTAATCTTTCATTTGAAGATGCTGGTCGTAGAGAAAATATCATGTAATAAACTCCGCTAAAAACTCCGTACATTATTTAAACACTTTTCAAAATAAAACTAATATTGTATTTTCAAGTATTGGTTTTGTAGGGATTATGTTTGATTGCATGGAGGATTTCATCATGAGCTGACACCAGTTGGAGAACCCCTGAAAAACCTAGGAGTACTGGACAGCTGTCCAATGGTTCTCTAAATGACGTCAGCTCATGATGAAATCCTCCTTGTAATATTGTGTTGTTATTGTTACGTTCAAATTTTCGACTAGCTGCCTCCTTCATTCCATTACACTGATCAGATATCAGTATGAACCCAGATTCGCTGACATAATTTGAGGCAAATGTAACTCAGTTCAAGAATATAATGCCACCGATAATATGTACATCGGAAGAAGAATTTTTTAAAGTGCAAAATTCCGTTTAAAAAGCATACAAAAAAATATAACTTGTCATTAAACAACCATAGCAACAGACCACAACGCTACAATTAGCGGGGATATGTAATAAAGTCACTTTAAATTTCAGGGCTTTGGTCATTGAAATCAGCTTGTCCTGTAACAACTTTCAAGTGTAATTCTCATCGCTTGAAAAAAAATCTTATTGTATCTTTGAATAAGGCATTTAGAAGACAAATTTCGCAAGATGATGGCATCATTTCGTAGTTTCTTTACAACCGCTTTACAACTAACATGGTTAACAATAACAGAATAAAGGTCATGACAGTTACTCAGTTATATAAGAAACAAAAGTACATACTAATGACCAATCATATTTAAATAGGTTAAGTAGTCAGTTCATGGTAGGCGAAGGTTGAAGTCTATTGATTTTTGTACACACAGTTTAGGCTGTATGTGATTAATCCAAAGTGCTTCCATCACCTTCAATAACCGACCTTGAATTAGAGTTAAGTGAAATAATTGTGAGACAGTCATAAATATTGATTTTGTGATCTGACATTAATAAGTGCTTTGCAATGGATGATGCTGGATTTCTATTCAGATTAATTGCGTTGGGATTTTCTGTATGTTTTAGTAACCATTTTGGAACATTTTCTTTTCGACGATATTGGAACATTCTATTGGTTCTACCTATATAGGTGTCATGGCAACTGCAGGTGAACTTGTAGATGCAGTTTGAAGTAGAGTCCACAGAACCTCGTTCTTTAGTCGTGGGTACAGGGATCGAAAATGTTCGGCAAGTAAGAAAAAGAGATGCGGCGTAGAATGTGCGTTTGATGGTTGACCGGAGTCTTTGAGCTGTCAACTACATAATCTGATCACCCTTGAATGGTAGGTTAATAAAGATAGCTTTCTTTGGTACCGAAGCTGTCTTTTCGAGATGTGGTCTTTTTTACTGTGACAAGTGATAAAGTTTTCCGGATAACCATTAGCTAATAAAACTGAATGTATATGTCGAAACTCACCCACCACTGTGTCACTCGTTCATATTTTTCGGGCCCTTGAGAACAAACATTTCACTAGAGAACGTTTATACTGGATAAGAACAAAACTGGTAAAATGAAGATACTGTCCACTCCATGTCGGTTTACGAAAAATAGATCTCTGAATCGTGCCATCATCTCTCCTGGTCATTGTAATATCGAGGAAACCGAGTTTGTTATTCGATTCGCGTTCGGAAGTCACTCAGATATTTGGATGAATATGATTAAATAGAGTAATAAAGTTTTCAATAGATAAACTATTATTACCAATAATGAGAGTATCATCTACATAACGTTTATACAGTATAAATTCTCCAAGCATACCTTGCATTTGTCTCTCCAATTTCGACATGAAAATATCTGCTAACAGGGGCCCAAGAGGGCTACCCATCGCAACACCATCAATTTGTTTGTATGCCTTTTCTTGAAAGGTGAATCTAATATTTTCTGTACACATTAAGATGACGTCTCTGATGTAAGTTACAGGAATAGGTAAGTTTATTTCATTGCTTGTGATGTAATCGCAAATGAAATCAACAGTTTCATTAAGGGGAACATTGGTGAATAAAGATTCTATGTCAATTGAACACATAACCTTATCCTTGATGTTCAAGGTGTCTAGCGTATCTGTCAGATCAAATGAACTTTTTAAAGAATGATTTGATAATGAGTCTCTTACAGGCGTAAGGACTTCTGTAATCCATTAATAATTGCTCAGTCAATATGCATATATATGTGATAAGAATAACGATAATTAAAATTTTATAAGGGGTAGAGCTGAAGTGGATAAATTACAAAATTATTAAAGATTGTTTTATAAGTGAATTGATATCAAAAATATTTTTTTAATTTCTTGCGTTGTCTAAAAATTTTAAAAATTAGGAGTACGATTACGCTAAGAATAAAGATGTGATGTGAAGTGGAATGAATTCAAGTGGTAAAATAAAATAAAATGAAAACTAGAAAGAACATTACAATGACCAAGGTAGAGAAAAGGGTTTGACAAAACGTTTTTGATAATTTAGATTTCTGTTCATGTATAGCTAAAGCTTCGCCTATGCATAAGTGAAGAAAACGTCAACTTTTGAAGCGATTCGATTTTGCCATGTAGATAACCTTGAAGGATGAATCACGTGGGGCTGGATGACCAGACTCTATCAGGGGATCACAAATAGACGACTTCACAGTTCTACGTTCGCCTTTCGTAAACCAAACGGGATAGTGTTCAGCTTCACGTTTTCCTAGAGTGCGCTTGCAACGTCCAATATAATCAGCTCAACAGGAGCAGGTAAAAGAGTAAATGCACATAGATGTGATGATATTAGATAGCTGGAGGCAATCCGCAGGAAGTCTTGGACCTAGATCTCGTGCTAGTTGGCACTCACCAGTCAGCAAGGCTGGTCTGCAACTTTGAAGGAACTCATGTCCCTTCTGAGATTCGAACCCACGTCACCCAGTGAAAGCTGCAGTCAGAGACCTTAGCACTGAACTATCCGGGCTCGCGATTGACCTCCTGTAGGACTGTAGGAGGTATTTTGATTGGACACTAGTTACTAGTGTGAGTACCACTCACTCAGTTCATAAATAACGGATGAATACATTTGCTTTTGAATATATTTTGCAGGTAATTACTGAATTCTACCAATACTATGGAGTTCTGTGTATACTGTATGCATTAAAAGTACATGCCAGCAGGTATCGAAGTTCAATGCATGTTTAATTAATCACACCATATCACATCACAAAATGGTGTTATTTTCATGTTATTTTGCTTTTTGTTTACTCAAGTTATTTAATGATTATATCATCAGAATATTTTTTTAAAGTGTGTAGAGTATTTCTCACATTTAAATTATTCATGATACTCCATTTTTATTATTGTTTCACTCACAAACATTTTTTGTATTCAAGACGCCAGTACTGAATTCTCATTCTTAAGACAGTTTTTGACTCTTTGCGCATCATAGTTAGGTGAAGAGTAAGTCATATATATTGAAATTAAGGCTCTTTTGGTCAGTGTTCTGTTCTTATGAACAAAATGGAGTGTAGTGCACAATAATCGGCTCTGACTTTCCACTTATGTTCATTAAGAGTTGAAAAATTCTCAGAAGAAGTACAACCTGTCGAATCTCTGAAACCTGCAGTTTGAGTTATGCAAAAAATGCTCATCGATCGATACAAGGATGAATACAAGGGAAATGTTGATTTATACAATTGTGAATAACCATCGATGGCTTTCAGATAATGTCAAATTTTAGGTAATTACTCTTCGCAGCGGTTAGTAGTGGAATTCAGAATACCCATTTCGCCCCGTTCACGACGTCTGGGTGTACATGTTCCTCCCTAGTGAGTGGCAGTGTTCCCATTGATACTCGAAGCCAACATTCTTCGGCTTAATAGTCTAAGTCTTATCCACTAGGTCACTGAGCCACAAGTCAATAAGCACTAGATTTATTACTGGGAATTATTTAACACGTGATTAGGCTCTTGGAACCAAACGCTCTCTTACAAACAGTATAGACGAAACATATTTTACTTTTCTATAATTGGTCACGGATTGATATCAGCTAGAGAACCATTGAAAACCAGCACTGAAGTACTGGACGGCTGTTTCGTCCCATTAGTTTGGGATTTTTGGGCAGTACGCACCCACCCTGCTGGGTTTCGAACCCAGGACCTTCAGGTTACAAGGCCAGAAAACTCATATACCATTCAGCCACCGAGAACCCATTCAATGGTCAGCCCATGAATTCTAACTTCTACCAATTCGTGATTTAGCACGACCCCAACAGCTGTGTAGTACTCCCTGGTTTTCAATAGTTTCGTAACTGATATTCGTTTAAGTCACCAGCGGAACAAAGGGATTTTAGTTAGCGCTCTGAAGTTTCTTTAGGAATGGTTTTATTTTTACGGGGTGGGGTTGTTAGACTCACGCCCAACCTTTCATCTTTACTGGATTTGCTACTGGTAACTGTAATTGTTTTCTTCGTGTGCTTTCGCGTTTTCTTCTGCTGCGTAGCATTCCACTCAATTTTGATTTTGATTTTCACTCTCTGAGTTGAACGCCCTATTAAGGTTCCAAATCTACTAAATTAAATTATTTTATCTATTGTGGGATTTTTTACTTCACTATTCATCCCCATCCTCTGTTGTTCTATCTTGTATTTCGTCTCTACTCCATCCTTTTTTTCGATCGAGATCTCAACTCCACCCATCTGTCTAATTACTGTGTAAATAGTTAATCTGTTAACACTAACTAATTGTCTACTTACATCATCTTTGAAATTATGTTTCCTATACTTTCTGTCTATCTATAACTTGAAATCATTGTAGAAAGTGTGTTCAGACACCATTTTGTAACATATAATTGATTTATTTAGGATGTAGGCAGTTGACGAGAATCCTTGTGAGTGAAACGGGGCAGTATTATCCTGCAAATATGTTCGTTCTTTCATTATCCAAACTGATAAAGTGAGCCAGTTAAAGGAAACGTTACATTATCATACATATCTGTAAGAGAGTGACGCGAGTTGGAGGCCATATAGTCCAGCAGTGACTCATCGATGATAGAACACTCACGAACAGCACACATGACCTGGATTCGATTCTTAGCTGATGCATTCCTTAACTTTGCTTAGTGTACTTTATGATAAGATCATTGAAAGGAAGGAAATTTCAACATTGGGCTGATACTTCCACCCATAAGAAAGATGACACCACAGCTAATGAAACTACGAAATCCTGAAGCTTCTGTTCCACTTGGAAATCAGAGGATTAAAGGAGAAAAAGGACGAGATGGTCACACAGTTCACTTCATTTCAGATTGTAGCTGAAACGGATGAACTATCGCCCTCTTAAGTATATTCTTTTGTGGAGTTTATCGTTTTTGATATTTGGACTATATAAGATGTTCTTGACAGCTTGTTTATGATATAATGAGTTTCGCTTGAATATGAAATGAAATTATGAGTCACAGTGGGATTCAAATGGGAGTCGGTGAGATGACAGCGTAGTTAGCATTCGTGCCTCAGCACAACTGATAGACCTCAGGAATAGTAGTTCCAAAGTCATTACTTTGAATACTGCTGCTACCTAGATTCTTTATTCACATTTAGTCATTGCATGTTTGTCATGTATATATGCACATAGTACGTACAGCTAGGAGTGTTTAACATCGAATTTCCAAACACCATCCTGAGTGGTTAAGCAGGGAACAAACAGAGTTCATTCATAGCTCTGTTCTACCACATCTCATAGATGCTGAACAGAAGATTTATTATAACAAGACTTTCTGAGTGATCTACAGCATACGGACTAGTCTTAATTTTACCTCAAGAGTTCGTTTGTTACATATGGCCGCAGCTATCGGAATCCACATTAGGAAGCCTTACTAAGATTAAGATGCTCTTCATGCCATGGTTTCAATAATCCTTAAATGTTTGCATAAATTTCCCTGATTTTATTTGATATTCTACTTAGTATTAGACTTTTGTGCTTATTATAACTTATACATCTTTCCAGAACTGTAGTTTCAGTGGTCTTAAGAGATCCACATTATTTTAAAAATCACCAATATTTTGATTAAACAATAGCTAGCTAGTCACTAGTCCGATGTGTCTAGTCTTAACTTTGATGCAGACTGAATTCTATCAGTCAAGTTTGAAATGTGGTCATCATTCTAGGTGGCTTGCCATCATGGTAAACTTTGAATTGTTCATATTAGATGGTTTGAGGTAATCGGCAGGAGGCACTCGTCGATAATGCATGTCAGCAAGGAACTCATGTTCCTTCTGAGATTCAAACCCGTGTCATTCTGCACCAAAAAACGCTTAGACACACTTTACTAGTTACTAACTAGTATCCTGATTGCAGTAGATTGGAAAATGCGACAAACAGCGGACGATCAGGAAACAGGCATAAAATGGACTCACACAAAAACTTGGAGGATCTGGACTTCGCCGATGATATATGTCTGATTTCCCACAAACTGGAAGACATGCAATTGAAAAGCAACAAGTTGGCAGAAGAAGCATCAAAGATAGGACTTCTTTCTGGTGAACATAGAGAAGACGGAGGTGATGAGGATTCCTGGGCAACACCACCAACAGCAACAACAAAAACAGACAACAATCAACATAAATGGAAGGAACCTGAAAGAAACAACCTCCTTTACCTACCTGGGAAGCATCGTTTCAACTACAGGCTGACGGAACTGACGAGGATATCAAAGCAAGGATGGGGAAATCAAGACAAGCTTCCACAACTCACAAGTCTGTGTGGAGGTCAACAGCACTCAGCATCAAAAAGGAGATCCGGATTTTAAACTCCAATGTGAAGTCAGTGCTACTCACTATACGGATCAGAGACTTGCACTGCGCGTCATAAAGAGCATCTGAAACAAACTACAGACCTTCATCAACAGTTGTCTTCGTTCAATACTCAAGATCTGATGGCTGGCCAGAAAAGATCAGCAACAGAGAGGGAACTCTGGGAGCGAACTAACCAGGAAGCAATTGTGAAACAAATAGGCAGGAAGAAATGGAGATGCATTGGCCATACTGTGAGGAAACAATGCACCAAGTGACATCACTAGACAAGCCACTGCTCGAGTGGAACTCGAAAGGTAATCGGCGAGTTGGTCGTCAGTGCAAGGGTTACTTGAAGGAGGTCATGTGAGCAAGAGATGAAAGCGGGTGGGCAGACTTGGAGCCAGGTGAAGACTCTAGCAGAGAACCGAACGCAATGGAGACGCATGGCTGAAGCCTTATGTTCTTCTAGGAATTAAAGGAAATAATAATAATCCAATTAAAGTATCCAATGTAATACTACAGGAGGTCAACTGCGAGCCTGAATACCTAGATTGATAACATTTCTGACCGCAGTGCTGGGCAACGCGGGTTAGAATCTCACAAGAGACATAAGTTCCTTCAAGTTTGCAGGTACGCCTTGCTAATTGGTGAGTGCCAAGTAGCCCAAAACCTAGGTCCAAGACTCCTTGCCGATTGTCTTGAACCATCTAATATCAACAGACACCAAAATTGTTAACGATGATTGTTCTAGAATGTTATCTGTGTATAATTGTACAGTCATGGGGGAGATTTATTGGAAAGAATATATTTCGCTTGAACTCTCTTTTGCCTTCCAAATATCTGAATGGCAATTTTCGCTATATATATTATATATATCGCTGACAATTAGCTTTGTTAAGCTGTGAGCGAACCAGCAACGCTCAGGCGAACAATCATTTGATGTTAAACATTAGTCAGCCTTATTATTGTTGATTACTACGACTCCTGTATTGTTATTCTTATTATTATTATTATGATTTACTAATAAAAGTATGCAAAAGAAATACTTTAATTTAGGTTTTTTTTCTCTGAATTCATTCCTATATATTGCGCTTTGTGTCCTATTACCTTGGCAATTATTGTCATGTGACGTAACGAATTTTCACACTTCCAGTTATACTAAAATTTGCACTTTGAGTATCCACTGAACTTCTTTAGATATTTATTATGAATAATTTCTCTGTTTTGTTCATCCCTGTTAGCCATTTATGAACCATTCCTACTACTAAGCAAGTGTGAGTTATAGCTCAATTTAATATCCTAGTTTTGTATACATAAGGAATGGCTGTGGAAACGGATCGTTAGACAGGAGTGATACAGATACTCCACCGATAACAACCACAGAAAGTATAAATCAAAATCAACAGGAGAAATTTCAAGGAAGTTATCCCTTCCACCTATCTAGATGACGTAGTCGTTGAGTAACGCTACGTGACAGGCATTCGAGTAGGAGACGAGTGGGGAAAGACAAACTGGGCGTCCAACAGTGACATAGAAGAGATTTCATATTAGATAAGTTTAATATGTTTACTAGTTGACCACGGATTGATATCAGTTAGAGAACCATTGAAAACCAGCATTGGAGTGCTGGGCAGTTGTTTCATCCTAGTTTGGGAATCACCGGCAGTACACGCTCATCGCTAAGGTTCGAACCCAGGACCTTCCAGGTACAAGGCGAACTAGTATGCCATTCAGCCACTGGGACCCGATCCAATGGCCAGCCCATGAATTCTAACTTCTACCAGTTCGTGATTTAGCGCAGCCTCAACCAATGTCGTTGGTGGGACATCCATCCTCACACGTGGTCACGACTTCTCACTAGAACTCCAGGAAACTCCATCCTGTAGCAAGTCACTAGCGAGCATCAAAATAATTTTCTATAGTTTGGTTTGTAAGGAATAGTTTAGTTTTTACGAGTTGATCACGGATTGATATTCTGGGTTCGAACCCAAGTGGTCGCGTGCTGCCGACGATTCCCAGACTAGGCGGATGAAACAGCTGTCCAGTACTCCAATGCTGGTTTTCAGTGGTTCTCTAACTGATATCAATCCGTGATCAACTCGCATAAAAACAAAACTAATCCTTACAAACCAACTGTAGAAAATTGATGTTCTTAATTAGAAAAAATAAACAAAGATTAATTTTAATATAAACAGCTTTTGCATTGACATGTCGATTAATACAGCTCTAAAAGCAGTTAGGAATGAACTTAGCATTGATCCCAGTCTCAAAAATAGGACTAAGCTCTCAGTTGATGAAACAATATTATGTGTTCAGTTATGTCTGACCTCCAATGTATTCAAATTTCATAAGTAAATATCCAAATAAATGAATGGAGTGATAATGGGATCACCAAAATCCCCAATAGTAACAGATATATTTATGAACAGTTTGGGACATTAAGCTCTTAGAACGTTCTACCAAAGTCCTAGGCTATAGTGGAGATATGTATATGACACATTCGCCGTGTTGAAATCTGAACATATCCCTGAGTTTTCTATACATACAAACTCGGAAGTAAACTGAATTTAATTCACTTTTGAGTTAGAAAACGAGCAAGATGAGTTGATCATGCTAGAATGTAAAATGAGACGAAGACAAGGTAGAGGGTTAGACACCAGCATTTATAGGAAACTGACACACTCTAATAAATGCGTAGACTTCAGTTCATTCCATCTAAAATCGGTAAAGATATGTTTAGTTAAATGTCTATATAATAGGGCCAGGAGCCTAACTAGTAAGCCAGAAGATTTAAATAATCAAATCAAACAAATAAAGGAAACGTAACTAGTGACTAGCTACCCAAAAGAATTTATTCAGAAATATTTGAAGACCCATAGAAGATATAAGATTAGTAATGAAAATGAAAAAATAATAACAAAAATGATATAAAATCCAAGTTTCTCTAGTACTGCCGTATCAAGGAGGAACATCAGAGGATTTACGTAGGACTCTCAGTGAGGCTGAAATTGAGGTCGCATTTAAACCAACCAACCAAATCTCCCAGAGATAAACTTTGTCAGCTTAAGGACTCTGTAGATCCAATCAAGAAAAATAATATAATTTTTCCAGTTTCCATGGAATGATTGTGAGGTGAACTTCATAGGTCCAACCAGTAGTAGATTGGTGTTATTTAGCTTATGGGAACATAAATATTTAGCTGAACCTAGAATGATTAAACCTGCTGATTTCAATAAAGTGGAAAGAAAATATGGACCACCGCCTTGCATCCATCTGCATGTAATAGTGAAATAGGGCGGGACAAGGTGAAAACAGTAAAAAGTCATATAGTTAGATAGAAAGAGAGAGAGGTTAATCACTGAATCTTTGTTTGTTGATTAAAAACCGAAAATGTACAATCAAAATGACGCGGTGACCAAATTGGAGATATGGAAAACGGGAAACAAACAACAATGGGAAGTCGGAGAGACAGAAAAAGAGAAAAAGGTATATAAGATAAATTCTGAAGTCGTGTAACCAAATTGATATGATTATCAGCAATAAAATGTGCTCGAAATGTCATCCAGATAATAGTACTGCATCACTGTGTGTAATACCAAATACATTTATCTAGCATGGAGTTACATTTTACCACAGTGCTCAAGTTCTACACTTACATGTAGGAGATCGTGTGAGGAGGAAACGAAAGCTTATCGTCAATCATGGAGCCGAGTTAAAAGCATGGTAATGAACAGGATGAAATAAAGATGTGCTGCGGAAGCCGTGTTTTTCACTGTCAACTCGAGGGAATAATAATAAGGAATGGTATATCCTACAGGCCATTGGGCAGAGTAAAGTTACACCTCAAGAGGAAATATCACGTTCAGAAATCGAATAATAACAATAATCGACACTCTGACTATATCCGAAGATCAAGTTGATGTTATTTAGCCTCATGGCGAATAGCAAAGAAACCCACGATGCTCATTCCATCTCATTTAGGACTCTCCACCCGGATACACCTACAATTCACATTAAGTAGTCGTATTCCTACTGAGACAGTTCACCTATCGTTCCATGAGTCAAACCGCTATCCAGTAGGTCCTAGAGCTAATTGAGGAGTCCTAAATTCGATGAAGTGCACGTTCTGGATTCCACAGCTAATTACCATCAACCAAATTAACATTAGAGAGTGAATAAACACTGCAACAGAATAGCATGGATCCAGTGTCTATTCCCTCTCTTTTCAAATTTATTAAAATAAATTCGGGTATAAATGTCGAATCAGCGGATAAATATTCTTGAGATCACATTGCTATTTGACCGAGAAGGTCTTGATGAGTAGCTCTAAAACAAGATAAAATAGAAAGTGTATATTTCTCCATTTTCCTGTAACGATTGACTGTTTACCTACGAAAATTAAATGCATTCTCTAATTACCTGACTTCTCGTAGGAAGGATTAAACTAGTAACATAGTTTAGTGCATCATTTAACACATGAATGCCCAAAATATACGCATTAAAAATGCAGGAGACTTTTAAGTAATATCATTGTTCAGACGTTCAAATGGGACCCTATTGGGGAACGACAAGTTGAACCCCCCCTCTGGTCACATGAAAGAGATCGTGTGGGAAGGAACTGAAAGTTTTCGAATAATTGTGGAGCCAGCTAAAAAATATCTGCAGAGAAGATAGTAGAGTAGCAATACGCTACTGAAGGCCCATGTTCCACTAGGAACCCAGTGAACGAACAACAAAATTTACAATAATAATGAGTAAGGAATCACAAAAATCCATCACTAACTTGAAAATTAAAACCAAACAATTTTCATGATTTATTGAACCAAACCAACTGTGCTGTGTGGAATCATTTCCTTCTAGAACACTTCTCATTGGTCAGTTACTCAGTGACTTAGATTATGCAAGTTAACACATAACGTGCAATCCAAAAAAATTGACCAATCAGAGTGACTGTTGGTTGTAAGATTACTTCTTAAATTTGTTCTAATTTGTTCTCAATAATCGACTGGAATATATGAGAAATCAAATATATATATATATGTTCACATATAAATACTCGTTTTTGTAATATGCTCACTTCTAATGTATCAGTTGTGAGGAGGTATTTAAAGTGAAATACGCGGAAAACCCAACAAAAGCCTGAGAAGAATCACCTCATCTCAAATAAATTGCTCTCCGATCTATGCTCTGATACAATCACTCACTCATCCACTCATTGGAAATTCTTCCACAGAAGCCAAATATTTATCATTGCTGAACAAAAAATTTTAAAAAAAACAGAAGTAAACTTTTTTTTCATAACCGATCTCCCCTTCATCTTATTGTTAATTTTATGGAATGCCTTCTACAAATAGAATCAAAACTTGTGGACGTCGAAAACGCCTACGCTACTTCGAATCAACAGCTGATTTAATCTCTCGAAAAATTATTACCTCTGGTGAAGAATTCAATCATAATCAAGTGCACACATTACTGTTATCCTTAAAATCTCGTAAACCATTATCCCATTCAAAATTACGCTGTGAACCCGACGGGATAAGATTAAAGCGTATTTCAAAGTTCAGTTCACCACCGCCAAGAAAATTCTATGCCTATAAAGATATTGAACATTATTATGTATTTGATAATGACCCAACAATTCTTATTCTAGGCTGTATTGATCGGGAACAGAATTCACGTTACTACGATTTCTTTAAGCTACCTGAATCACATTATAAGGATATTACAACATTGATTGATAAAGCAAGAAGTCATTCTGATTATGTTTTGAATGAAGATGACACAACGCTACCGACGCCAGGTGTTTATTCATCACATTCTAGTTTAAATGTATCCACTGAACACCTATCACATAATAATAATAATCTACCTTCAGAAGATGATGTTCATGAAAATGAAAATGATGCGAACGTAGGCATTTGCAATAAGACAGAAAATGATAATATAACTAAGGCTTCAACGACTGATCTACGCGGAAGTACAACTGAAACTATTCAACCGATTGAAGCACAGTCACTGCAACAGAACATTGATGATCATGATGATGTGATCATACATAATCATTTTGATGACCATGAAGATCCAATTGAGCCTATACTGATCAAGTGTGAACAAGAGACATGGGGAACACTTTTAAAACCCGCTGCTACACCTGATCATCCACAAGCTTCACCAGTATCAATGAAAGTGACTGAAGCACCACCAAGAGTTGTCTTCAACGAGCACGATGATAATCCTGATGACGATGATGATGACAGTGATACAGCTAGTTTAAAAATGAAATTCAAGGAATTACAAGAGAAAGATGAAACATTTGCAAAATTAAGTGAAAATATCAATGTGAATGATTTATGCGCTATGGATTTTCGTTATGTAGCAACACATCCTGAATTGGGTAATCGTATCGCTGATAATGGTGATATTTATATTTTTATTGCACATTATAAACGACCAGAGAATATTAGAAATCTTCACGCTTATGATCCTCGAGCTTACACAGATGTTGATGAAGGCGTTAGTAGTAAACATCATAAAAAACAAAGTACCGCTGATAAAAACTTTCGTTTACATTATATTTAAATTTAGAACAGTTTTAATGAGAATCCATAAACTTGCCGAAGTAATTCCTACTTTCCCCTTTGCTACACCTTTATACCACCCACACACCCCCTTGCCCGCTTTTTATTCTGCCTACGAAGTAAGTGGAAAGAAAATTTTCTTTAACGAGTCTTTGTTGCTGTTATTCATGTTATCATGTTTCTATGCCTTAGTTATCTAAAGATTAACAATAATAATTAAAAGAAAAATTACCGCTTCTCTTGACACACACACACAAGAATGAAAACAAGCTAAATCACACAACCTAGACTCAAACGGCTGTTTCTTTTATAGAAGTAATCGTTCCTAATGCATATACATATCTATACGTACACATAAACCCTTAAAAGACACTTAGAAACTACTGTTATCGCTATCTACAGATTTAGTCAATATCTTCAAAATGATGAAAATCGCTATGTAAACACATGTAATGTAAGTGGGATTGTTGACCAACACCGAAGTAAAAAAATTTTGATAAATTTCCCTTTTTTCTTCTTTTCCTTTTCTACAGACAAGTCTAGTTATTTTCACTATCTTCGTGTGCATATTACGAATGACTTTCTTATTCTTTTTCATAATAATAATAATATTATTGTTACCATTATTATTAACTATGATAGTTTTACTTTAAATATTAGCGAACGCTTTGTTGTTGTTTTTTTTGTTGTTAAATCATAGTTTAAATTCACCATTTAACTGCTCCTTGATTGAATTGGCGCGAAAAACATTGAACCATTGAACGCGCCCCTTAAATTATTATGTTTAGAAAAGTAAAACAAATAAAAAGACAAAAAGGATGTGCCAAGTGCAGATGGATGGGGAAAAAAGAGGAATGTTAAAACAAATAATTGTTAAAGTTTATGAAAGATTACCAAAAAAAGTACATATCAGAAGTCATTGTCAAATGTTACAGTGTTCAAAACAAAATCAAAGATGGCGGGAAATAATTATTGGTTTAAATTAATACAGTTTTGATATTATATGATTGATTCACTGTCTCTTTCTCTTTTTTTTATGAACATAAAAATATGTATTCATTTATCTTATCTTTGTTTATTTTATAAATGAAAATAATTTTCAATTAACAAAGCATAATGACTAAGATAGAAGATAAACTGTTATTAAGGCTTGAATCGGAGGCATAGAGAGTCAGTTACTCAACAAACAGGTCGATATGATGTGTATAATATTGAATTCAACTTCAGTCATTTAAACCATTAAATGCAGAGGTGTTCAAAGCATATCACTTTGGATAATTCTGAGTAAGTTAGCATTTGATTTTCGTACATCCGCTAGAACCACGGGTATGGATATAACTCTCCTCTCCTGTATTGTATTTCTTACAGTAACACATAACCGACACTCAAACTGTCATTGCGTTTCAATCAGGTTGTGTCATTTCAAAGGTTTCTAAGGCGTAACCACAGTTATGTACGCAGTCCTTCGTATTGGGACTGATTGAATTTGACTAGTCAAGCGTGCATTGTAATTTTAGATGGTAGGAGGCACTGGGTGACGCGGGTTCGAATCTCAAAAAGGCGGTTTCAGTTACTTGAAGATTTGCAGAAACACCTTACTGACGAGTGCAACAAGCGTGAAACCTAAGATTAGAGCTCTCTGCCAACTATCTCCAACTCCCTGACGAATATGTACATCTCATTTGAAGCACATTTCGTAGACTAGTATACAGTTTAAACCATCTAATTTGTTTTACAGCTTCTATTTCATGTTGACTCCTAGATTATTTTTGCATTTAAGCAGTTCATGGGGAAATGTAGTGAAAGTGTATTTAAACACTGAGAAACTGACAATGGTTATCGGCAATTATAATCTTTTACACGCCCTAAGGACTGATTCTAAAGCCGATTTCTTGCGGAAAATATCACCAATCAGGAAACTGAAAGATGTCAAAAATCACTTCAAAAACATTTCATCTTTTTTCTTCAGAATTCTTCAAGAATATGAATCTCATGAAGACTCAGACCTTTCATTATCACAACGCATAAAGAACAAGTATTCGTTCAGCCAGTGAGCTAGAGCCAGCTGTGTCAATTTGAAATCAAATGCCACCAGGACAAAGTATGATGTCCAATATGATGTCCTTCTTACTCTAAAGATTTTATATGTATAGAGAGTGCATGATAAGTGATCGTGTTATCTTATAGTCATGATCATAGGTACTTTTGGGCCACAAATGACCATCAGAGAGCTTTCAAATGTTACATGGTGGGTGTACAGTAATTCTGTCAGTGATTTCGATTCTTTATAGTAATGCTATTAGAATACTCTTCATAGTTTACTAAACAGGTAGATAGAACAAAACTCATTCTGTTGGCCACCGTAAACATCATTCAAAAATAGAAACACCCAAAGGTTAAGCGCATATTTTATGAGTGAAAATTTAATTTATGCAGAATTGCACAAAATCGATAAGTAAATCTGTTTGTGTAACTGTTCTCGGCCTAAGTAGAGAGTAGAATTTGTACACTTTGGTAGAATATAATTCCGTATTCGATAAGTTTATTTAATCAAACATACAGTGATAGAGGTTTATCAACTAGATGATGATGTGTTTTGATCTGCTGATGATGATTATATCAATGTATCCACACGACCTCCATTATCTTCAGCGTATTAACTAGGCGGTAGGCTGTTGTCTAGTTTGCTGACTGCCAGTGTTCCCTACCGCCTATCTCTTCTAGTAGGCCATTTGATTTTTAGCGATATTCGAAGGCAGGTGATGATGGAATTTGGAAATCCTAGCACTGAAGCAAAGGAATTCTCTGGACCATACAGGGGAATTGACTTGTTCTTCTAGCTAATTTTTTAATCTGATTTATTTTGAACAGGAGTAGCATCTTCTATGAATTATCTCGCCAGTCTGAAACCACCAGTTTAGTGACTCAATCCAACATTTCTTGCATCATCAAGTTTGTCAACTTAACAGATCTTTACCAAGCTACGTCAACGATCTTCATTGGTCGCTTTCTTGAAAGCACTGAAATAACTCACCAAGACGGAATTTTACTTAAGAAAGATTTTACCTGATGTAAATGAGTCTATCATTTGTTAAGTCAAATTTTCAGGAAGTGACAGAGTATACTACTTAAACGCCAGAGTAATTCAGCACCATTCATATTATATTCGTCTATTTTGTAGAGAAAAAACATTTCGTAACTTCTTCAATATTTCGAAACTTGGCAATAATTCTAGTGGGAAGCCGTGACCAATAGGGTATAGCAGGTTGAAGGTGAGGCAGTAACTCATATAAGAAGCCTATGCGAAATGATCACGCTATGTCGTGAATTGGCAGAACTTGGAATCCATGGACTGGCCATTGGATCGGGTCCTAGAGGCTTAATGATCTACTAGCCAGAATGTTCTGGGTTCGAATCCCACTGTGTGGGTGCGTACTGATGAAGGGTCCCAAACTAGGCTGACGAAACTGTTGTGAAGTACTCCTAGCTGGTTTTCCAATGGTTCACTAACTGGTTTCAGCTCATGATGAAATCCTCCCTCCAATCAAACGAACTCCCTACAAAATCAATGCTTGAAAATAAAATTAACAATATTATTTACCAAGTTAGAGTTTGATAAGTTAAATATCTACCCCGGTAGAAAGTTTACTCAAAGCTCAAAGTCAATCAATTGATTTTATCACGGTTTAACTGACTTCAGGGTTGCACGCCAATAAGGAAACCTGATGTCCCTAGCACGAATTATAACTGTTGAAGAGAGCAGGTCTAGACTAAGTCAACTCCTTTGTCTATCTTGATTTCACTACTTCTGTAGATTTTATCGATTTTTGGCATAATTCGTTCTGAACTTGTACCTACTTTTGAACAGTTGGCCGGTGACAATCTGAAGGCAACGTGTTCTAGAGTGTTTTAGTATATTTGGTCACTGTGATGAGACCACCCTGCAACAACAAACCTCATTTCGCCGGAAATCTTTAACTGTTATTTATGGCTTAAAATAAGCTGCTAAGATCATGACTCATGGAAATCTTCGCTGAAAACTTCCCTCTAGATCTTAATAGCTGAGCCAACGGTAACTTTGATAGAATCACCTTCAGAAGTATTCCTTAGAAATTATTTCTGGAAGAAGAAGGGAGCTCTTAATCTTATTAACGTAATTACTTTGTTACTGCGAGTAAATAGGAAAAAATAATATTATTGTATATAACTCCTGATCTATTTTTAGAAAGAATCTATCCCATGTGAAGTGGCTAGAACCAGCTAAAAGTAGACTTAAGTCGGCCTAAACAGGTTACGGTAATTATTTTTGCTCCACAGAAAGTATCCATCCAGATATGAATATAAGAACAGCAAAGTTCAGCAAAGAGTCTGTTTTCGCCGGTGAATTCATTCACTTAGCTGTACAGTCGCAATTATATGTAATTACTTGTGTATGTGTGTGTGTTTACATTAGGTCTGTCAAACAAAAATAAAAATTAGTTAGAGTTATTGTTTACGTCATCAAAATATTTCAAAAACCTGGTGAATAATCAAATTGTAACTAGGGGGGGGTGAAGGTCGGTCAGTATTGACAAGGACTGCATTATATGAAAGACACCCAGAAAAATAGGATAACAATGAAAGAGCATAGAGACAAGTGACCAAAATAAATTATGCAACAGGTAGATAGAGTAAACAAATGGTTGGTTAAGAAAAAGATGTTGCTAAAACGTCACGCAAACATTCAAAAAGAAGCATTATTAACAAAGTAGTAGAACTTAAAGTTATACCAAAGGTAGATTGAGGGGGGTAGAGAAGTTTCTTCTGAGTACATAAATCAGGGTTTTCTATCCGGATTGCTAAGGCCTCCTTGGTAATGCAAAGTATGCGGAACCTTATCGTCTTCAGGAGTCTTCTTTTGACTTTGTAGATGGCTTTGAATGAATTCTCCTTATATATTGAATGATAAGTGCTGCCTATGTGTTCAGTTATAGCACTCCTTTTCGTAATCAAGCGGGATAA